GTAGCCAAGTCTTATCCTTAATCTCCACACCCTTCTGTAGTTCCACCAGCTGACTAACTTCTCTCCGAGTTGCCTTGATTGCCTTCAACCTCATTTTCTGTGGGGAGGGGTATGTACTGCTGTTCTTCTTGATCATGTAGCCAAGCATCTTTAGGATTACAGGGGCTGTAGCATATACCAGTTCACTGGTTTGAGTTATGGTGGTAGTAAGGATTATCATGAGGGCTCTATTGGCATTTCCTTGCGTACTATCTAATGGTACTTCTCCACTGAGTTTTGGTAATTGGTCTTGAGGGTTGACTATAGCTAGTTTATCCATGATCTTATGCCTCATATCAGCTGCTGTGGTCTGTAATGGCGGGGGCAGGGTGGGTAGTGACATTCCAGTTTCAGGTGTTGGCTGTACATTCAGTTGCTCTTCCAGGTATTCTTTAGTCTGGGTTGTAATGTGTAGTTGGTCTATCTCAAGCTGTGAGAGCAGCTTCCTTATCACTATGTTGAAGCACTGGGTAACTAGCTGTTTCTCAGCTAGTGTGGATGTAGGTCTTCTGTCCATCCATAGTTCCCTCATTTGTTTCATATATCTCATTAGGTCTACTGTTTTAGCATTCCATCAATTCCAGGTTGTCTTGTCTTGTCCACATATGGTTTGTTCCAGTAGCCCACTTATCGTCAGATTGTCCTGGTTCCCCAACATCTGGCATGGACTTTATTAATCTGGGCAACGTCCAAGCTGGCACGACTCTCTTAGTACATGTCACTTGCATATCCAAGGTAGCCAGCTGAAGTGTTAGGGGGTCTTTGCCCAAGGACCCGTACTGGTAACGTAGGTACCAGCTGGGATTCAAACCCCAGTCTTCCATGTCAAAGGGCGGCACTCTAACCTCTACGCTATCCAACCGCTACACACACACACACACACGTGAACCTGCAAGGATTTTTGACCACAACTGTTTTCTACTTAAAAATCACAAGAGCTCTTATTCACCTTGATTTTCTTTGGAAGAAAATCTATTGTAGTTTCCCCTTCATCTCCTACTGCATCTGATATGGTTTCTGATCCATGGCTTGGTGCTAGATATGCTCCTTGGTTCCAGTCTGAAGCAGAGTCTAAAATAATAAGTCAAACTGAACTATCAAATAATAAATAAAACATTGTTCTTTTCCAGGTCACACTGATCACTCTAAAAATAAAGTTAACCAATATGTTCTTCCAGAAAATTAATATTTTCTTACCACCATAGGATCTATCACTGGTAGTAGAAGTTGCAGACTGTGCTATACCCAGGATCCCCTAAAATAGGACAGAAATTATAGTTAACAATGTTATTCTATAAATAAGAACTTATGTTACAATAGCTAAACTTAACAGCACTCCAAACTCATTAACATAGTAGGATTGCTATTTTAACCAACTATGGAAACACATTTGGAAAACAGATTTGGACATCTATCCAATTAATTAATGCTGGGCAATGCAAGATCAAAATGTTTTCATTGGTGTGGTGCCCTAATGGCATTTGAAGAGCAATGAAAACTTTGTCTGTGAAAAACCAAGTATTGTTAGCATTCTACATAACACATACCTCTTTATTTCTTAAGACATCTATGACATTTTTCAAAGCATTACATTCTTCTGTTAATCCTTGTACTGCAATAAATTGCTCTCTTTTCAACACTTCTGATTCTGAGATATGCCTAGTCTCCATGTCCATTATTTCAGCAGCATGTAATTCCTGCATTTCTTCAATTTTTTCATTGAATTCTCTTATGATTTCTGTAACTTCTTCTGAAGAATATTCATTTTGTAAATCAGTCTGAATTCCTTCACTTTTGACAAGGAGTTGCGAGGTTTGGTTGCAGGTGTTGATCAGCTGTGTTTTTTCAGTCTGACTTGATGCATTTATCCATTTGGTACCTATTTGCTCTGATTTTACAGTGTTCTTTTCCTTCCTTATATATCCTGCAATTTTTTCTTTTGCCTGAGCTAATTTATTCCTGGTGTGCCCTAGTTCGTCTTTAAGATGGATCAGACTTGTTTCTTTTACCTGTAAACAAACATAAAAATTCAGATGCTTCCAATCTCTCTCTTACAGAAAGAAGGTAAAACTGGTAAGCACACGTGGTATTAAATCACTCAGTTCTTCTCAAAATATTTTGAAGTGACATCCACCTATAAGCATATATTTCAGACTCACTTATAATTCTGCTGTTTTATATTCTCCTTTCACTACAGAAACTCATGAATATCATCTTATCACTAGATATTACTATATGGCAAGTTTATTCATTTTTAATACATGGATAATATACATTTCAATAAAAAAAATCAAGAATGATGTACCAGGGGGTTGGGAACAGCATATAAAAGTAACTGTGTGATGTTATCCAGGAACATACTGGGACTCACAACTTGAAAAACACTGATTTCTAATTGTATATGAACAACATGTAGTCAATGAAGCTTGTCTCTTAGGTCCTGAACTGTAATTTTTTATAGAGTTCCTAAAATATGTTAGTAATCAATCTGAGTTTTCCTAAACATATTTAGTGAACTTATGATGCACACAGTGGCAAATCTCAATGTAATACAGTAGTTAAGGTGTTGGATTGGCACAGGAGAAACACAGGTTTAAGTCCACCCTTAGCCACAGACGCTTACTTTGCAACTTTCAGCCAGTCCCCCTCTCTCAGCCCAGCCTATCTCACAGGGTTTTTTGGGGGGAGGGGCAGGGGAAATGGAAGGAGGGAGCACTATATATACCACCTTGAGCTCATGAATGAAAAACAAAATATAAATCAAACAAATAAAAAATAAAATCAGCTTCTGCTAATAATGTTCACCGTCTACTTTGTAGATTTTATTTAGTCTGGGCCACTGACCTGTAATGAAGAATTTAATTTGAATAATGTTCACCTCTTGTCACATGTCTCCATCTGTAGATCATATCTGAAAATTATTGCCACTGTCTTTCTTAGAGCTTATAACCCTATCTCAAACACAGTGTTGACTTTTAAATAAAACTCTCAGTAATACAGCTCTTAATTATTTGCAAATCATGTAACGAAATAAACCTCACAGCAAATGTTCTGAATATTTGAAAGTTTAGTTCTGCACTAATGGCATCAAAATAGCTAACAGTATAAAAACAGGTATATAATTCTGAACTGAAATTCTCTTCCAAGCCCATCAAATATGCTTTTAGTTATTTAATGCTTTTATTTTGCACCCTTCAAATACATGGCTCCCAGCAATTTTTAGTGTAAAATGAAACAAATGTTTATTTCATTCTTACCATTAACTGTTCTTTCAATTTTTCTGCTTTTTCTTTGTAGCTATTAAGCTCTTCCTTGGCTGCAGCTGACTCTGCTCTGACTTTTTCTAATTCAGGATAATTTCTTTGCTTGTTTTCAGTCAGGTCTGTGATCACCTGGATTATTAGTACCAAAACAATAATTCAACTTATAACCAACTTATGCTGTACTTCTTAGTTATTATGTCAAGGTAGTATCTCACATTAATAATACTTTAAAAGTGTAATGAGGGATGAGCCCTAACTTAATGTTTCAATCCTTAGAACAAAGTTTGAAGCAATTCCCTAGGCTATTGTCCAATGAAAGCAGCTACTGGTATGAAGTCAAGATGGCAGGACCTTTAGGACAGCTGGTGAGTGTGGTCTAGACAGAGGTGATATAAAGAAAGACCATAACCTTTGAAGCACTCTGATTACTAATGTCAGAAAAAATGCACACTGGAAGATGCATATATTGGATAATATAAGGGAAATTAAATCTACTGTCTTACACACCTAAGGAAGATTTTTATTTTCGTTCATCTCAAACCAAGGACTGTAAAACATTTTTAAAATGCATTAAGTGTTGATTCTGTACTTCTGAACAAAGACACATGTTGGTAAAGTCTTTATCACGAGTGTTTGCAATAAGAGGTAACTGAAAAGAATGCCTTTATATTGTCCATGCATCACTTTTGTTAAATGTCTGATGATAGGCCAATTAAACAGTTTAATGCTGTTCTATAGATTTCATTGGTATTTTATATTATGGTTGTTTTATTGTTTGAACTTGTACATGGCTTTGTTATTCCTCAGAAAGATAATATAGAAATATTTGATCAATTTCTGCAATTTCAACAGTTAAACCCCCATTTCCCACAAATAATGTTTGAAGAGTAACTGACTAGTTTAATATCTGAACAATTACTTTTAAGCCATACATACCTGAGTTTGCATTTTTCCTTCCTTAGAGCTTGACAATTTCTCCCTTTTGTGCCTTTGCTCTACTTCTGTTAGCAATTGCTGAAGTTCAATAAGTCTCTCTTCCTTTTCTTTTGCCTCCTTCTGTACAATTTCCATTTTTGTTCTTTCTAGTTGAAGATTATTCTGTGCATCTGCCAGTTGGCTCTGCATCTCTGAAAGTTTCTCTGATAACTCTAATAACCTAGCCGTTGCATCTTCCCCACCTATACGTTTGGCATTTTCTGTTTGAATACATAGAGTTTCTTTGACATCTCCTGAAACTGCAGGTACTTGGGGAGAAAGCTGACTTTGCTCCAGAACCACATTCAATTCAGTTTGACCGTCAAGGGCAGCAGCAATCTTTTGCTCAAGGGTTTCTTCCAGCTCTATTATTCTCTGTTTGAGCTCTTTTGACTCTGCCTGGGCTTGGTCTTTTAAATCCTTGAGATGCTTGTAGCATTGGATTAGCTCTAAATCCTTCTCCTCTAGAGCTTTCTGAAGTACCTGTAAATTTGTACCTATTCTAAAAGAATCCTTGGCATTTTCATGCACATGATCTTCTAATGATTCTTCATTTCTTAATATTTGAGTTGATCCAATGACTGGATTTTTATTTTTTTCTTCAATTTTTGTTCCTATTTGTGCATCATCATTTCTTGTTGGCATATTTTTATGTTTTTCTCTAGTCTTTTCAAGTTCTTCTTTCAGTATGTCTAGTTCTTTCTCTAACTTTATTATTTTTATTTGTTTCCCCTCAAGTTCATTCTTTGTAACCAATAACTGTCCAACATTATTTTCCACTTGCATCACCAAATCTTCTTTTTCTGCCAGTACAACATCAAGCTGGTGTTTTAAATTATCTATATCATCTTGAGTCAGTGAAAAGTCCAAAGGTATCTTGTGTTCAATATTCACCATTTCCTGCTGGAGTTTTTCAATAACTTCATTCAGCTGTTCTATTTCCTGTTCACTGTTCTGCTTGACACGTTCCTGGTCACTCTTTAAGTATTCTATTTGGGCTTCCAGTTCTTTTATGTGCTCATTTTTCTTCTCAATCACCTAAACAAGGATTGAAAAAAAAAAGAAAAACAAAATTAAGGGCAAGAAATTCTCATTTTTATGCCACTAATTATATTTCTTTGTATAATATATATAATTTTTAAAATACTGTATATCACTGCTCTTTATATGAAATTTGTAAGAACTAAATCAGAGTAATTCCTATTTTTATTTAAATAAAGAAGATAAATAAATAATACTATTTTGTTTAAATGTAACACTTTACTGTGTTTTTAGAGGTTTGCTGGCCACTATCTGTATTAAAAAAGACTGTTCAGTTTTGAGCCAACTGGAAGATCTCCATGGCAAGAAAATCCTTGGACAGAGCCAGGAAAAAACAACAACTACTAACCAATTATAACTAACAGTTGTGACAGTACCACTATACCACAAACTTTAAGTATAGAGAGGGATGATATAAAGCATCAAATATGTATTACAAATTACAAAGTATCTTTAAAAAACATCCATGCAAATTCTATTTTGAAATACAATTGTATGTATTTCAATCCCCATCCTAAAATGTTTGTTACTAGCTTAAAGGGATGGCATCACTAAGGATCCATAAAGCATTACTTTATTATCTGTTGTAATTTCAAGCTGCTGTTGCAATTTTGAAATTTGTTCATGGAGTTCATGGATTTTCTGTTCCTTTTCCTGTATGATCTGTATATATTTCCCAGGAACTTGATGATGACCCTTTATAGAAGTATCTTCAGGATTCTGGATAGCTAGCCCCAATTTTTTCATGTCTTCCTATAAACAAAAAATAGCAGCACAGAATGTAACTTAAACATTCCCTTAACTAATTATTTTCATTTTATTAGAGAAATAAACTGAAACATAAGAAAATACTTTCAAAAGGAAAAATAAATACTTAGAGATTTCATAATTTTCAGATTTTCATAATTTCTAGGCTCAGGTTATGCTTATTCAAAAGAAGGGAAGAAAAACAAGATTTTCTTCCCAGATGAATACCTTAAATAATTTATTTTCTTGCTCAAGTTCTTGTTGTCGGGTTGTGGACTCTTTTAGCTGAATTTGTAGCTGCATATGCAACTGCTGTACTTCTTCATTTTTGTTTTCTAATTCTTCACGGAACTGTTCTAATTGTTCTTCAAGATTTATGATCTGTATATCCAAAATAAGTGGCAAAGGAATAATTTATTTTATGTAAACAAGCACAAAAATTTTTAGCAACATTTTTTTTAGGGTTGTAAATTTATTTTACTATACATGTAATTTACTATAAATTACATGTATAGTAAAATAAATGCAGCACTTTTTTTTTTACCTATACATTTCTTTTGCTCCCTTTGAATAATTTTCTGTAGATTTAACAGCCTACTTTGGGCACTATAACTGATCAATAGAAAACCAAGCTTGTACAACAAAACCATGTTGATCCTTTTACACATCACATGCTGAATTCAATACAAAATATTGAAATTTCTAAATAATTAAAAAGAATACCTCTTTTTCCTTCCTGTCTACAGCTTCTTGCTCAGCCTGTAGTTGTGCTTCTAGAGGTAAGTCCCCCCTTACAGCTGCAGACCCAAATTGCTTCCTTTCTTCCACCTTTAAAGTAAGTATATTTAACTATCACTTCTTCAAGTCACAGTTCTTTGATTATTAAGTAAAGCAGTATTATGTTGATAACACTGCATAAATAATAATTGTTATTAAAACATAAATAAAACAATCTACAGAAAAATACCTTTTGTAAATTGTCTGCACTGATCATTAAAGCTTGCTCCAGTTCTTGGATTCGACACTCTAATTTCTCAATTTCTTCATTCCGTTCTTGCACATCTCTCTGAAGTTGCTCCTTAGAGAGCAAAAGCTCACTGCATTTGTCTGTTTTTTCCTTAAGATTATTTGTTAACTCTTCAACCTGGTGGCAGTAAGGTGGAATGGTGTTTCAAATTTCTTGAAATTTGGATGTGAAAGATGACAAACCTTTCTGACAATCATTTTAGAAAATACATTCTAACATAGGCCATAACTCTTGCTACAAACTTGCTACAAACTTAGCTAAGTTAAATTATAGGAAATAGGAAAAAGAGAAGCATGAAGATGTAGAAAGAAAACTTTTAAAATCTGGAAAAAATCACAAGCAACCAGAAATCAAATAAATAAAAGAAAAGCCGATAGAATAATCAGAAAAGGGGAGAATGCTGGCCACTATGTGTATTAAAAAAGACTGTTTAGTTTTGAGCCAACTGGAAGATCTCCATGACAAGAAAACACTTGGACAGAGCCAGGGGAAAAAAACCCCAACTACTAACCATCACAACTACCAGTTGTGATAATACCGCTATACCAAAAACTGTAAGTATAGAGATGGATGATATAAAAAATCAAGTATGTATTTTTCAAAGATAGATCAAAAAGTGAACTGTGGAATTCTTAATATTGTGGCTTCAGCAGATGTTATACTGAGATCGCAAACATATCAATAGGCAGATAGACACGCAAAAACATAGAACTCTGATAGCTGTGAATTTTTGATGATATGAATCCTAATATGTTCAAGTTATAACAGAACTATTATGCGCTACACCTATTGGAATTGATAGCCTTTAGGCTACATTGTGTGTTTGCGTATGATGTGTGTATGAGTAAATGTATATATGTGTGCGTGTATGTATGCGTGTATGTATGTATACATAATCTAAGGGGAATATTTCATTATAGCTAATGAAGTAGATTTATATTGTACAAACATTATGCCTCAATAAAAAAGTAGAAATCTTTGAAGGTATTAACACAGATATTCCTACTTTGGAACTGATCACAAATTAAAAACCACATTAACTATGCCATGCAGAAAAAGACTGATCTAACTAAAGCAAAATGAAAGAAACTATCTAATACTAAAAAGCACAGATATTTCATTTTAACTCCCTTGCTCCTACCCCAAAAGATGCCTATGATTTTAGGCATTTAATTCTAGCTTTCCTGAATATATTTTTTATCAGTTCATAAGCTACAGAAATCAAGAAAATGTATCTATTTTCCATAGTAATCAATTGTTCTAGTTATGTCTTTGTCTGATTGTTCATATATAACCTACTTTCCTTATCTTCATATTTAACAGATGTATACACATAGAGGACTTCTTTTATCTTGTAATATAATGTCCCAAATAATTAAATATATAAGCAGAAAAGTAAAATTACAGGAATATGGAAAAATAAAAACAAGAAAATGTTCCGTATTATTAGAAGATAAGAATAAAAACATTTCAAAGGAATGAAGGCATTTCTCTCTCTAAAGATAGCAAAATGAAGCAACATATTCATACTTTTTGGCAATTCTGAAAATGAAATTTAATTTAATGTGAAAGTTACATTATTAGTGAAAGCAGCAACTATTTTATAAGGTGTGTGGAGAATGAAAACTTTTCTATAGGTATTAATTTTGTTGGGATATATCTTCCTCTGAGTCATAGCATAAGTCGATTCTATCATGAAGGTCCTTTAGATGTGTCTAAGGGTATGAAGGGGTTCTTTTGGGAAATGGTACAAACCAGCAACACACAGACTGCTTTTTTTTTTCTTCTCAGTGTTTCCCCAGGGAGGCTTTTATTATAAAAAATTGACAAACTTATTTCCTACATTACCACACAGCCATTGTTTATACATTCTTTGACCATTTCATAATGCCTGTGCTTTACCATACTTTGTATTCTATCTTAATTATCCTAGTTGTAAAAAATGGTTTAAAAACAGACACTGGCCATTAGTTCTCAAAAGCCATGTTGGCAAGAAAGCAGAAGTGCCTATGGATAAGGCCTGCTAAACATTTCAAAGGATGGATTAACTTACATGCAATCAAATGCATAATATTCATATGGAAAGAAGTCCTAATAGAGTTTATTGTCACATAGGACCACAGCCCAGCTCAGTCTAAATCTTATTTTTCTGGTTGATTATTAACATAAAAATTAAGGGAGTGGCATACAATCACGGTTTATACAATGTCACAAATGAAACACCCCTTTATCTTACCTCTCTGTTTTGATGTTCACTAACTGGTTGAAACCTTTGAGGAATTTTAAGCTGTTGCTCAAGCTTCTGTATTTCTTGCTGGAAGACATCTCTCTCATGCTCCCTATCAATTGCCTGCTCCTGAAATGTAAGCCATTATATATATATATATATTTTAATGGGAAATATCAAAATATATTGTACAATGCAGGTAGTCCTTGATCTATGACCAATCATTCAGCAATAGTTTGAAGTTACAATGGCACTGAACTAATGGTGGTTACAGCTGATCCTTGGAGTTCCAGCTGTCCCAGCACACCTGCAGTCACATGATCGCAATCTGGGCACTTGGCAACCCATTTGCACGTTAGACTGGTGCCAAGTGCCCCGCAATCACATGATTGCCATTTGCCAGCTCTCCCAGAAAGTCAATAGGGAAACTGGCAGGGAAGATTGCAAGTCGCTGGAGTAAATCTCCCCCACTGCGCATCCTTCCCCAGCCCCTCTGCACTTGTGCTGTACCAGCCACTTGTGCACCCCTGCGCCAGCCACTCATGCACCCTGTGCACCTTCTCCAACCCTCGCTGCAGCTCTCTCGCAACTTCTTGCACCCCCATGCAACCTCCCTGACCCATACCACACTCCCCGCAACCTCCCCAACCTATGTAGGGCCTCTCATGCACCCTCCCCAACCCGCACCCCTGTGCAACTTCCCTGACCCACGTCCACCTCTCACACACACCCTCACACCCTCTCTGACCCACATGGGGCCTCTCACACACCTCCTGACTTGCACTGTATCCCCACGCAACCTCCCCGATCTATATGGCACCTCTTGTGCACCCCCTGCCCAACCCACGTGGCGCCTCTCACGCAGCCTCCCGTATATCCCCTTGCTCCTTCCTCCACCCGGCAGCAGCCAGCTTGGGACTTGCAACTTCCTGCCGGCTTCCTGACTTACTCTGGTTGTGGGAAGCCGGCAGGAAGTCATCTCACCTAACAACCATGGGATTCAGTTAACAACAGCAACCAGGACTGCAGGGATTGCCACTGTTAACCAATGTGGTCACGCTTTATGACCAATCACTGAGCAACAGAAATTCTGGTCCCAATTGCCATTGTGAGGACTACCTGTACTTTGCTTTCAACTTATTACAATATAATAGGAAACACTGTGACATCTTAAAATACTTATTAAGGTAGCTCCATAAAACCTCAGTAATTATTTGTGATAATTAGAGTGTGACAAGGATTGGGAATATGTGTATGTGTGTATTCATATTCATATGGTACACCACTCTCATTCTTAGATTTATGCACAACACTGCATAAGGTAGACAAGTAATACACAAAGTAGCAGCCATCAACAATTGTTCAGATCTTTTACACCGTACAGTGCTAAACATAATTCTTGATTGTAATCAAATAGCTTGTTTACGCTATTCTTTAGAAACAAAATCCAAGTAGCTTCTCAGCAAATACACAAATCCAACAGCAATTTTAGCATTATCATAAAATTATGTTATTACGTCAGAAAGTTTATAATTCATTTTCCAATCTTTTTACATAGAAATCATTTTAAGCTTGAAAAGCTAGAGAAGTCCAACTTTACTGGAGGTATTTCAACATTGTTTCAATGTTATCAGAAACATTCTATTCCTGAATCAAGGCTTTTTAAAGGATGGCATTTCAAGCTCAGACTGGTTCAAACCAGAAACATTTTACACAATGATACTTTATAATGATAACCTTGTATAAATTAGATTTATCACATTTTAAATCTGAAAATGTGGCCATCTTTTTTTCACATGCATTTACAATCTCTAGATGTTTACCACACCGATTTTTTAAAATTATAAACTGTATATGAAATAAGCACTTTAATGTATTGTGCTAATTGGCTTTTTTTGTACTCTCTATTTTTATTCTGTTGTAAATGATGCATGGATGGAGCTCGTCTTTTTACTTACATCTAGAAATTTTTTTGTTTTCTCAAGCTGTTTCTCCAGAGCTTGGTTTTGCTGTCTTAGATCCATTAGCTCTGCATTTTTTTCTTGCTTTAGTTCCAAAAACTGGTTGACCTGCTCCTCTATATCAGTTTCCAGTGCTTTCACCTGCTTTTGAAGGTAGTTATATTCTTTTTCAGCCTGCCGCTGCACTTCTATTTTTTCTTTCATTAACTTTTCTGTCTCCGCCAACAACTCTGTTTAATAAAGCATAACTTGTTATATATGGATAGTTAAGATTGTTCTATAAAATAAACCCACTCTCAAGATGGTTCGTTCATGCTAAAGCATAATAAAGGATGAAAATAACTTTGGGTTTCACCAAAATTATGTGGTATTCTCAATAAACAGAAATAATAGTAGTAGTAGTAATAATAAGAATAAGAAGCCTTGGGAAGACTCGATAGGTGGATAAAAATGCCAAATCCAGTCTAAACATCTGGCTGACTATGTGACCAACAATAATGTCTAAATTGTTTAACTTTCCTTAAGGCACACATTGATATAATTAAACTATGTTTATGCATACATTTTCATTAATACTGTGGAAAATGTATAATGGCATTAAAACCCCACTGTCTTCTCATCCTGTAGGACTGTTCCAATTCAAACATAAATACCAATAGAAGAGAATATATGTAGCTCAGGGTTGAACTGTGGAGTCCTTGGTGTTCTCTGAGCTTGAATACCCCCACCAACACTGATAGGGCAACCTACTGTATATAAACAGAGAGCAAACCCCATTCCCTTCTAGCACTGAAGATGTTACCTAGTCGGGTAATGAAACATCTGCAAGAAAACAATCAAGCTCAGAGAACACCAAGGACTCCACAGACATAAATATTCCAACAAATGACACATACAGTGGGGCAAAAAAGTATTTAGTCAGCCACCAATTGTGCAAGTTCTCCCACTTAAAAAGGTGAGAGAGGCCTGTAATTTTCATCATAGGTATACCTCAACTATGAGAGCTGTTTTTCTGCAAAGGGACCTGTTTTTCTGCAAAGGGACCTGTTTTTCTGCAAAGGGACCTGTTTTTCTGCAAAGGGACCTGTTTTTCTGCAAAGGGACCTGTTTTTCTGCAAAGGGACCTGTTTTTCTGCAAAGGGACCTGTTTTTCTGCAAAGGGACCTGTTTTTCTGCAAAGGGACCTGTTTTTCTGCAAAGGGACCTGTTTTTCTGCAAAGGGACCTGTTTTTCTGCAAAGGGACCTGTTTTTCTGCAAAGGGACCTGTTTTTCTGCAAAGGGACCTGTTTTTCTGCAAAGGGACCTGTTTTTCTGCAAAGGGACCTGTTTTTCTGCAAAGGGACCAGGACGACTGATCCGTGTAAAGGAAAGAAGAACTTGCACAATTGGTGGCTGACTAAATACCTTTTTGCCCCACTGTATAAGATTTTAATGTAAAATAATTTAGACCTTCAGCTGGTGAGTTACAGGAAGAAAAGAAACAGACATTTCTTACCGTCACCTGGAGTTTTCAATCACATAACCCCTTCCCTCCAATTTTTTAAACAAACTATTTAAAGATGAATGGAAAGAACTGAAGAATTTAGGGATATGTGGTAAGGGAACTATGGCTGCAGATGTCCATCCCATACTGATCCAGTAACACTGGAATTTTAATATAATTTTGGATGTTATATTACTTCCATCCAAAATATAGGTAATTCTCATGTCCCAACAACCCCTTGGGAATTGGGACTGCACTGACCTTGGCAAGAAGTACACTGTGATTTCTTTATACATGATCTGAAGCTTCAGATGCTGCTGAAGCAGCATATGAAACTTCACATGCTGAGACAATTCCCAGATTACTGAGATAACATCAAAGGGGGAACATAATCCATATATTGCTTAATGTTATATATAACCAGAAAGAATGCCAAGATATGTTATTTATATTATGCTTCAGTCATTTAATTGGTATACATGCTGCAATCAGGAATCATTTCTTGATTGAGAACTATTAAAAAATAATAGATTTTTGGATTTAAGTCTTTGCCAAATGAATGAAAAAAGAACATCACCAGATAATGGCCTTTTGGTGGGTTTGAGTGTGTGTGTGTGTGTGTTATACTATATAGATTTTTGTACCACCATCTTACATCATACTTCCTTCCTCAAATATTACACATGAAGATAGAGCTTTATTTGACAAAGATCTCTATATGCAGTTTATTATTTGAATGCAGAAATTATTAGGTGATTAAGATGATGTTTATTAAATTTAAAAAATATTTATTAATGTAGCATACTGTATAATTATGAGCAATTATTATTCAAAATAAAGGTGTGAAACACAGTATCAAAGCTGCAGGCCAGTAAAATTAATGTCAGTAAGCTGAAAGCCCAAAGAGAGACCATGATTAATAAGTGTCAGTAGCTGTTAAATCTGCCACTCAATGAAAGATTTGCCATGCAATATACAAACACACCTGCTTGGGAAGCTGCATCGACTGCAGCATCTACTAGGCCTAGGAGAACAGAAAAAACAAGAAGCAAAGTAATTCACATGCCATCTATAGCTTCCTCAAGGTGAAATACATATGAGAAAAATGAAGATGAAGATAGAATGCAGAGTTCAGTAAAAATGCCTAGTGAAGTAAAAAAAAGTGTCATTGATTTATTAAACACAATTGTTAGATATTTTTCCCTGATATTTTTCCATTTATTTTTCTATAAAGTGTTGTCAATAGCCACTCACACAATACATTTTTCATTATACATTCAGAACGCTCTTGAATTAAAAAGCAGCATACCTACCTGCCACTTTTCTTATCTTCCATATTGCCCTGTATCTACCCAAGGTATCTATCTTACCTCTGCAGCACTTCGTGCCTTCCTTCCTTACCACTGCCATTCTGTATCCACTTAACACACCCATCTTACCTTCTGCTGTCCTGCACCCACGTGATCCCCACCCTATCTCTCTGTGGCCATGTGCTGCCAGCCTTTATTTTCCTTGGTGTTTAACACCTCAAAATAACTCTGCCACAACATGTATGCTCTGGGTCCATGCATGAGCAAAGCATGTGAGCTGCAGTCCACGCATGGACTGTCCAGTTGTGCCTGATCCATACAGGAAATGCTCCAAGTAAAGTATGTTTTGCATATCCCTAATCCATTTTGATTGATCTTTCAACAGAATATGGATTTTTTGAAAAAGAAATCATCCACACATCTGTTTAATTAGTTAGGTATCATCAAATTGGGCCAGACCCTGGTCACTTTATGGACAAGTGACTATCATCTCTAAATCTGCTCAATGCCCCAGTGCAATTTTAAAAGGTGAAAAGGGAGAAGAAGAACCCATTCCAAATCTATAAAGTTTGTGAAAATCTATTAGATATTAAATAATAAAACCAGACATATTTGGAGGACTGTAAAAATACATACGTTGTTCTATGGGTCCTGCATCAGCTTTCATAGCATCCTTTTGTCTGAAGAGCAATTCTTTCTCTTCTTGAAGGTGCTGTCTCTCAGCCTCTAGTTCCTGTAATTTGTTACCTGTACAAAGTAGCTCTTGCTCAAGATGGTCTATTGCATCTGTTTTTTCCTGGATTTGTTTTTCCATAAGTGATTTTTCATCTGCATAACCATCAATAACATCTATGGGAAGAACAGAGATGCCCAAATCAAAGCATAGTAATTTTTAAGTAACATATTTCAAAACCTTCTGAAAAAATATGAATAGCATGGTCACAGCAGTACAAAATTTTATACCAAAAAACTATTTTGCCCAAGTAGTAAAAACTAAAATATTATACTGTAATGTTAATTTTACATTCAAACTTAGAACATTCATTTAAAAAAACATAGAATTCTTATGGAGATGCGTGTCAGTATATGAATAGGATATATTCAGACTCCATTGTTAGAACACTGCTACATTGGAACTTTACTAAAACAATATCCTAAAGCCTACATTAATTTTAAAGAGTTCTAGATAAGCCTGGCGCTGTTCATTTTTCATTATATGGAAAGTATAATGTGTTTCCACATTTATGAAAAAGCTGTTCCTTCCACACGTTGATGTGCCTTCTCCATATATGTTATATGATACAATATGATGATATCTACATGTTTAGAATTTTCAGAGGATTCCAAATTGTGCAGGACTAGTCATAAATGATTATAATGATAGAAAAATATTAATTGGAAATGTGAATTGATATAAAAGGGTGGTGTGTGTATATGTGTGTATATCTACACACACGCATACACATAAACAGTGTTTTTTCACAGATGAAAAATTGTTACAGGTAAGTCTGATAAAGTTACAGTATGATCTTTTTGTTGTGCCCCCGTTTCACTTCTTCCAATAAGCATCTAGCTCATAAAACTGGTACAGGTAGTCCCCGGGTTAAGAACGGCGCCTACTGTAGCAAAATTCGAGTTAAATACACAGTGATTTGAGTTAAATACACAATGGTTTGAGTTAATTACACAATATTACTCCCTGAGAACAATCAAGAATATTCATAACCATAGTTCAGTATTTTTCTTTTATGCTAGTATAAGTGGTTTTAACATATGAACTGTTCATTTCTGAAAAAGCATCTTGGAATAATGGTTTGTACCCATTAATAAAATCTAAGTATTGTTTACTGTTCAGTCTAATTTTTCAATAGTTCAAAACCTAAAAAAGCCAATAATTTTGTGAGAAGTGACACATACATAGTGTAGTATGGTTTTACAGTAAAATGGACTGCATTTCAAACTATTATTTATTGCAAACATAATCTGACTACTAGCTAGGCAATATTTTGAAAAGCAGTAATAATTATTAGTATGTTTATACTAAATCTATTAAGTTGGGGATGCATGCTTAAACTATTTGTTCCCTCTCACACTTCAATACTATCAGTATTGAATTATGTTGAAACATCTATTATATAATGTTCCCAGCACAGAATTTACTGATTACAAATTCTCAGATTACAGTAGATGTATTAATACCAGGCAGTAGTTCAACAAGTCCTCACATGTTAAATTTATTGTTTCACAGTTGAATAAACATCAACACTTCAGCGCTAAACTAAGAACGTTTCTTAGAAGGTTAGGTTAGTATCAAGAATTGTGGATAAGCAGACTTGGTTTTCCATCAAAAAGAAGCTGAACTCCAACCAAAGAAATCACAGAATGGGTTTTTTATGGGCATTTGCACTGATAGCCAAGCCATTAATTACTAGGGTAAAATTCCCCAATTTGACTATATGCATGTATATACTTTAGAAAGATAGTCACTATAATGGATAACACATATAGAGATATAGGTATCCATACATGGAAGGGCAAACTTTTTGGGGGACACTTTGCAATAAGAATATATACCAGAGGAGTATAGGTACTTTGCCATGCTGTTTAGATTAATGTGTTCTAAGAATTGATTGGAAAAAATATTTTAAACTTTTATTCAGGACATCATTTTAAAAATGCTGAAAAGCATATTTATCTGCTACTTGGTAATTACTAGAAAGTGTTCATCTTCAGATGGAATGCAAATGCAATTTCAGAGAGCCGTTTCCAAAAATTTTGCAAAGATAAGTGTATGGGCATAGCAGTTTACTAGTTATAGTGCAATCTTATTACTGCTTATTTAAAATAATTTATATTGCTTTCAATGGACTTATATCCAAAGAAGCACAACAAACCTGGGTTTCCCAATTTCTGAATACAGGGGACCATTTTTTTAAATTATCTTTTTTGGGGGTGCACTTTTTTTTCCTTGTAACTTTATCCATGTGCAAAATGATTGATGGTCTTTAGCATATGTATAAAGTTTTAAAGGCTTAGGTTACCTGATTGGCAGCACTGAGGTCAGAGGCTTCATATGAAAGCTTTCCTCCTTCACCTTGAGCTCTGGCAAGAACGCAGCCAGAGTTCTGGTCGGAGGCAAGGGAAGCAATTATTTATATATTTTCTAAGGAGCATTTTGTTTTGTTTTTTACTAGGCTGAAAATTACACTTGGAAATGCTACAGCCAATTCTCAGTTTAAGAGATATAGATTTAGCAGAATTTAGATACCACAGACAAACTTTTCATCCAGACAGCCCTTTGAAAGAACAGATTTGTCCCTTATCTGGGGAAGCAGTCAGGGTTGTGCTTACTTCTTCTAAAAAATGGGTATGCTTCTCTGCATGCTTCATTTTTGAGTCCTGGATAAGGGAAGCAAGATGCTAAGAAGAGTGGGCAGGCTAGTGGGATAATGTTGGGTTCCAGGGGAGGGGAGGGGAGGGGGGGGGAGGGGGGTTCTGGGAAGATTGGGCAGGCAGGTAGGTCACATGCTATAGTGGCAACAGTTGTGTCAAGGGAGTTGAACAAAAAGGTACTGGGAATATAAAGCAATGGGTAGGCATATGAATATATGTTGGGATAGAGGTGACAGTGGCGATTTCTCTCCTCCATTCTGGTTCCTGTGTGATAAATGCTTCTTTGTTGACAGAGAACTGGAGAAAAAAGGATCCTTCAACAATCCCTAAGGCTGGCACCAAGAATGACATCCCTTAGAGAGCTGTCCTCTTAAATGCTTGCCCTCCTGACTTCTGGAAAAATAAAGAAAAAAAGGAGGGACTCTTCCATTTGGGGAAATTTGGGGTTAACAGACAATTCTGCTCTACAAAGGGCTTGTTAAATCAAGGCTTTCCTGAATGTGTAGAATTACAGTCTTAAAAAATAGTTTGTCTTTATGCATTAACAAGTAATTGTCATTGCCAATACATAATACAAGAAAATGCTTTTTTGGGCAATTCTACTTTCTCAAAATGTTAAGGAATAAAGTACATAAGCTCAACTATGAAAATAATCTATATTGCATTTTATATTGTGAAAGTAACAACATAATATATTAATCTGAATGTAGTAAATAGTAGTACATAGTGTTGTAAAAGGTGGGTTCATGGGGTCATGCTTACAAATGGATCAGTGCATTGAATGGTGACACAGTGACTCATTCAAATTTTTAAACATACGGATGCACTCAAATAACTGGGATAATGGACATTTTAGAGAAAGGTTGGCTGAGAAATGAAGTTGCATTTGAAAACAAGCCATGTGCACCTACTTGTTATAATTTAACTTTGAAAAAATAATTAAAGAAAATATTATTAAGTCTGGGCCTAATAAGTTAAATGCATGTGTTACTCTAGATGATTCTTAAAAAGAAACATAATCAGCAATAGTATATTAATTATCACAGAAATGCATTATAAAGCTTGAAATTCTAAGTCATATACTGAGCTACATGCTCATGGTCAACCATGCCTTGGATTTATCCCTGCTTGGACGATGCGATACGCTCTACATGGCGATGCCCTTGAAAGTTATCTGGGAGCTACAATGAATCAAGAATATAGCTGTATTCACAGTACACCCATGTTAATGCTATTTTGTGAGCTGCACTGGCTTCCTATATATTTCCGGGTGCAATCCAAGGTGCTGGTAATCATCTATCAAGTAGTTCATGGTGTAACACCAGATTATTTTGGGAGATACCCTATTATGTCTGCCCATGCTACAAGATTCAACAGAATAAGCAGGTTTCAGATCCCTTCCAAGAAACAATGCCAACTAATGGGAACCAGGAGGTGTTTTCTGTATGGCACCAGCTCTTTAGAACAGCATATGCCCCCCCCCCGCCAAGATACAGCTGGACCTGATCCTGCTGGTCTTTTGTAAAGCTTTAAAAGCTTTTTCCCCCTGACCATTGGGATAGCATGTTGGATGAACCTATCTGGAAAACTAGTTTAAGATTTTGAATATATTATATTTTGGCCTCTCTTTATGCTACTATATTGTGTTGTGTGGTTCTTTTATGTTTATTGTTTATCTTGGTTTGTATTTAATCCTATGTTAATCATCCAGAGTCACATTTGGTGAGTTAGGCCGTGATACAAATTGTTTAAATAAATAAATATTCATATATTAAGAAGGTATTATAAGTTAAGAAGTTATAAACATTTGTAATGAATAAAATAATTATGTATAAAATTGGCTGGATCCTCTTTAATTCTTCATTACTGTACACATTGTCTAATGATGGTTGCTTTTAATCAATTTTCTATTTATTTGTAATCTCCTATTCTCAACTGTAAAATAAAGTATAAACCATCTATAACTGCCTGAAAATTTAGACAATTAAAGTAGCTGCTTTATAATTTTGGAGGGGAAAAGTAACAATGTATAATTAAGATAAGTGTTTGTATTGTTTAAAGCACTGTATTGCAAACAAATGAATTACTTACTTTCTGCTTTGCTAAGCTCCAGTGCTATCTGCTCTCTAGCTCTGACCTCTTCATCAAACCTTTCTTGTAATTCTTCCTGACATTTGGTTAATTCAGTAGCTTCATGTTCCCATTTAAAGGATTCTTGCATCAATTCTGTTTGTGTAGCTTTTGCATGTTCAAGCTAAAACAGAATTTAAAAGGTTGAAATATGTTTTTTAATGTACATTTTAAAAAGTCTTGTACTAGAAAAATGTCAAGCTTGGGAAGGTAACTTGAAACGAGAAGTTTACTGCCCTCATACATTATGGTTAACAAGATAAACAAATATTTGTACAATGAATGACTCTGTCACATGTCCATATCCGTGTTCAAGTACCGGATCTTGAGCCTCTCCAGTTTACACCAAGTTACATTAGAAAGAAAATTTTATATTATTAATATAAACTATAGTATGTGCCACCCATAGTAACTTTTACTAAAAGTATGACATGAAATCTTCTAATTAAGATGGTTGAAAATTGTACAACTAATTACATGTCTCAATTCCACCTATTAATACTTCTGTGTTTTCCACAATGCTCAGTGAATACAAGATATAGATATGAAAGCACTCAATCATTTAACAAGTGTGATTAGGTAAAAAGTCAGAGAATCATAATGAAAAAAACAATCTTACAATCAACATTTTTCAGTATCTAAAGCTTCTTTGAGTCAGTGACCACTATTATTCATATTCTATATTTTCCATCCACTGTTCAATGTATAGAAATGGCATCTATTTAATTGATAGAATTTTAAAATGAAATGTCTGGAAAGTGTATTATTTCAAAAACCAAACATGTCAAAGATCAATATTTCACATCTCTACAATGCCTAAAATCCTGACTCTCTGGACTCAGCTGTCATCCATGACAAAGAATTACCTGATGGGAACATAATTTTCTTAGATCAATGGATGACAGCAACCTGCTTAAAAAAAATGTGATCTTTTTCCTTATATCTGATTAGCAAGTGAAAAGGTTAGCTGCCTAATAAGATCATGAGACTACAGGTATTTCATATGATATTCAGATTACAAAATGACAGAACATACATTTGCTTACTTTCTGGAAATAAAAGAACTCACACCCATGTTTTTCTAAGTGTGAATAGCTACACCATACATTTATGACTAACAGACTATGTACCTCATAATTTGTGCATTTATCCAAAAGGAATATTAATACAGTGATTTTCAATCAATACTAAATATTAACAAACCAATACTATTACATGTTAACAATGAAGACATGATCTGAAGACATGAAGACATTATTATGATTCCCAAGTTCCATAACAAAAATGAAATCAGTAAAACTGGTAGCAGTATAACATTCTCCCCTTACATTATACATTATATCAAAAATCAAATATAAAGACTGCATTATATTTATATAATTTATTTAATAACAATTTAACAATTCATAATTTACAAATTTAAAATTCAAATATATTCATTTATATTTAGCCTATCAAAAATGCAGACATTTATTCTAGTGTGGCCTACATTACATAACAACACATGCTAAAGTACTGCATTAGAAAAAAAAGTTAAGATTATTTTCCTCACTTCAATAGGTCAAAATGAAAGATTAAATTGTTACTAAGAATATATATATCTATTCTTGGTAATATTTATATTAAGATTTACATTTACCAGTTAAATAACATATGCAATGTTTTCAAAAATATGCATTGATGCTCATTTTTTAAATACATTTTCTATTGTCAACTATAATAATGCTGTGCTGCAGAAACATTTTGTTTAGTTCAAAATGTCCTGTATATTGAGTTTTTAAAATTAAGTCTTATAGGTAATCATTTGTTTAGTCAGCTGCAATTAAGTTACATCAATCTTATATAAAAAGTTTAAATGGCAAGCACTAAAATAGCAGCTCCTTGGAAGACATTATATCAGGGTCTCTTTATAACGTAACTATTATTAATAATAATAATAATATTAATATTATTATTATAATATTATAATATTATTAAATATTCTTACAATGTATAAAGTCAACCATTTGAGAGAAATTTGAATAAATACTTCAGCAAAATTTAAACAATGCATTAGACAAAAAAAATATTGTCAGGTAACATAAATTAATTGCTCCCTCCTTTAGCCTATAGCATCCACGTAAAAGAAAAAGTTATTTCTCTATTTTGTCATACTTACTGAATAAGGGGGTGTAGGCAAAGAAATTTTTGAAACAATTCTTAATCTATGTCCATTTTTCTTGTGCTTTACATAAAAAAGTGATGTATTGACAATCACAGAATTATTATCATCCAACTGGTCAGTGAAACGAAAAGGATACGGTAAAGGTACACGAGATTCAACTTCTAAAGTATTTTCTTCTTGACTTTTTTCTGACCTTAGATCACTACATATATTTGATGCCCAGTATGTACGGTAGGAATCCATTTCAGAATAATCTATTGCAGCTCTTTTTCATCAAACAACTTTCCTTGATGTAACAGTTTAAATTGTTCTGGGTGAAACAACAATGCAGTTCATCAACTATCTGACTGTTGCAGAGAGCAAGGAATTATAAATTCACACTCAGATGCGCAATCCAAAAGCACCAGGAAGTTCCAGGTAAACATTCAGTCAAGAAAAAAAAAGTGTCAATGTTTGCAGACTTCACAGAATTGCCATTTCCTCTCACAGAATGAAATAGAGAAGGCATTGGGAAAAAAAAGAAAGATAACCAATTCATCAAAATAAAGGATTATCTTCATAATTGGATAATATATCCTGCAGCAAGCAGCCAGACCATCAAGAAAAAACCTTGCAGTGTTTAAAAGTCTCTACTGAAGTAAGTCAATCACATACCAAATTAAAATGCTATTTAGCCTTTTTCTTTTTTCCTTAAGTTGTAGAAAAAGCTGCTCTGAAATCAGATAAACTTCACTGTACAAACAAAAGCTGTGTCTCAATGCTGAGGAAAAGGTCAGGACGGTAGGAGTGGTTAGATTGCTTTACTGCAGGTTCACAGGGTTTTGGAATTTGAATTAACACACCCACATCAAACTTTGCCCATAAGATTCAAAAGCCAAGTCAGAGCTCCTAAATGAATGCTTTGAAGGGACTGAAAAGCTTTGTGATTACCTGATCCTTTTCCTAATTGTTTTTTTTAAAAAGTCACATCCAGTAAATAAATTGTTCTAACTAGTACCTCATACTTGAAAGAAGTAAATTTTGCTTAATGTTAAACTAAAATTGATAGAAAGTAATAGAAAGGGAAGATTGAGGGGATGACAGCACTCTTCAATATCTAGAAGACACACAAAAGGTAGCCAAGATCTATTGTCTATCATTCCAGACTGCTGAACATGTAATAACAGATTGATATTACAGGTAGTCGTCGCTTAGTGACCATTCATTCAGCGACTGTTCAAAATTACGATGGTCCTGAAAAAATGGACTCATAACCTGTGCCTGAGGATATGGCCGTTGCAGCACCCCTGCGGTCATGGGAACAAAATTTGGGTGCTTGGCAGCCCGGCCTAGCAGCACTTATGACTGCAGGGCACTGCAACTCCCCCCGCACCTGCCTATCTCCCCCCGCATCTATGCCCTTTTGGCCACACTGCATAGTGGACTCGGCGGTGGCAGCACCAGGGCTGGGGCTTAAGCAGAGGCCTGAGGCTTCCAGCAGTCTCAGCCAGCTGCCACTGCCCCCAGGCCTCAACTTCAGCCCCAGCACTGCTGCTGCCACTGAGAAATGCTGCCTCAAGCCCCACACCGTTGGCCTTCACCACCTCCCACCATTCTTCAACCTGTGCCTCTTGGCAAGGTTGCACAACCCATACCTTCTGCAAGCCAGTGTCCCATTCTCATGATCCTTCAGAAACCTTCCCAGGTCTCACAAGAATGGGACGCACACCATTCCTTCTCCAGATCGTGAAGGTTTCTGAAGGATTGTGAAAATGGGGTGCTGGCTTGCAGAAGGAACAAGAGGCACCAGCTTGGGGAAGGAATGGGATGCTGGCTTGCAGAAGGTATGGGACGTGTGGCTTGGGGAGGGAACGAAAGGTGCGGCTTAAAGAATGGCACAAGGCGGCAAGGGCCAGTGTTGTGGGGCTTGAGGCAGCATTTCTCAGTGGAAGCAGCAGTGCTGGGGCTGAAGTTGAGGCCTGGGGGCAGTGGCAGCTGGCTGAGACTGCTGAGGGCCTCAGGCCTCTGCTTAAGCCCCAGCCCTGCCAATGAGTGCTGCTGTGCAGGGTGGCTAAAAGGGCACAGATGAGGGGGAGATAGGTGGATGGGGGGAGTTGCAGTACCCTTGCAGTTTTAAGTGCTGCTGGGCCAGGCTGGGGAGGCTGAAGCTTCCAGGAGCGGCTACGGCCTTGTACCACACTGCAGAACCCCCAACTTGCATGTGGCCTGTGCCAGGGCTCCCAGAGTCTCCCCCACCCCAAGTTACCACTGCACTCTTTACCTGGGACTCCATCTGCTTAACAACCCATGATTCTCACTTAACGATGGCAGCTGGAAGTGCCAGGATTGTAGGCACTAAGTGAAGTGGTCACTTGATGGTTTGCTTAACAACCACATCACTTAGCGACGTAAATTCCGGTCACAATTGTGGTAGTTAAGCGAGGACCACCTGTATAGATTCCAACTCAATGTTACAAAAACGTTTCTAACAATAAGGGTAGCTCAACAGTGGAACCAAGTCCAAGAGAGATGGTAGGCTCCCTTTCACTGGCTGTGTTTAAGCAGAGCCCAGATCCCAAAGCCATCTGGGATACTTTGAATTTGGATTCTTGAACTGCACAGAACAGTAGATCCCACTGTCCATATAACCATTCCTTTGGAATTCTTGGCACAGTAAAATATAAAAAATAGAAAAATAATAATTATATAGTAAGTACATCTTGTGAGAAGGAAATCATAAAATATGTACTTAATGGTCAACCTTTGATTGGCAATCTTTGCTTGTTGGCTTGGAAGATAATACAAACTTTAAGATACTGAATTATCAAAATGGAACTTGATAGAGATAACACAGTTATCTTGGAACATAGTTCTGCTTGTAAATTAAAAAGTGTGTCTGATCCATCTGTTTTTTTTGGGGGGGGGAGGGAAGAAGGGAATTCCATAGTGATTATTGTAATAAAATGCACTTCACAGCGTACATATTTTTTTGCTATAAACTTAAATAAGAGCCATTTAAAAAGTGTATTTACTATGGTTCATTGCTCTTTTCAAGCATTATTTTATGTTCAGTTAGAAATATCACCTAGCCCAATAATTATTTAAGCAGGAAGGAAAACATGTTTAGTACAGAGATTTTGGATTATAACTTGATATGCATCTATTATTCCAAACATCATGTTCCTGATGAGAGGTAAGGAGAATAAAAATAATTCAGTACTTTCCAGAAAAGTGCTTTGGAATAGTGGGAGCACAATCCCAATGCCTGCCTACAATTTTTGAAACAGTGTGCTTTTCCTAGGATTACACAGCTGTCAGCTGCAGTTGCTGCACGGTCTTGAAAAAAGATGCAGCTATTTTATACAGCTGCAAATACTACATTTGTGCTCCTGTACACTCCAAAACACCTTTTTGGAGACAATTGTTCCCAACTGAATAAGCAGCTTGAAACATAGCAATAGCCTGATAAAAGGCCTTTCAAAATTGTGATTTAATTTTTAAATGGAGGATGCATTATAAATAGAATATCTGAAAAAGAAAGGGAGCTCTGAGTCTGTATAAACACTGACTGAAATAGGGAACTTAATATTTAACACCATGATATAACGATATGGGGCTAAAAGAATCTAATTTGTAATCACAGTAAAAAGTCCATGCAAGAAACTACTATCAGAAATCCTGAAAAAAAAATCAGGAAATATTTTTAAAATGTTTGCAGAAATTAAGGAAACTGTTTCTTGATTTTTGTATCAAATACATTTGTTTATTCTCTACTCAAACATTCTTGCAGTGCTACAGTTAAACAATATTACCTGATTAGCAGTTTCATTTATTGTTTCAAAAAGTTTTTCAAATGCTGCTTGAAGTCGGGTATTGATATTTAGAATTAGCTCTTCATTTTTTGCATCTATTTCGATGCCAAGGAACTGGGTGAGTTCAAACCCTTCATCTGTGACTTCCAACCACATGGTATCGTCGTGACTTTTGAGATCATCGCCAACATACTGAGATGATGACTTTTCTGTATAACAAAAAAACAAAAAAAATCCTTCTTTGTTTTTTTTATTCTAACATCAGTAGCATCTTTTCATATACAAATAATGAATATGATCAAATAAATTGTATAATAAACATAAATATTTCCATTGAGAATGAAGAACATCACAGCAACAAAATAAATTACATCTTGCAATAAAATTACACAAATAAGGTCAGTTACAAAGCATACAGGCAATAGAAAAGGAGATACTAACAGAAGAAAAAGATTTGGATATCAGCACATTTCTGAAAACTTATCTAATTGGTTAATTCTATCTATTTACCTAACCAAAAAGTATATGGTTGTATTTCGGCCATTGCCTTCTCTTTAGGGACTACAGTTATTTGTCTAGTTTAAGCAACTGCACATAGCAAACACATAGATCATAATCTGATTGCATTTAAATTCCATTTTGAGACAGTAACACTAAAATTCTGCTGCTAATAAATTATTTTTCAACATTTTTAATTCGACAACTGAAAATAGATTATTATCGTTAATGGAATATACAGGCTTTAATGTATATTTAATGAAATGAAAACAACCTGATCACTGAAGATGTTTGATCCAGCAAAGGTTCCTACTAATGAAAGATACATGATTCCACCCTCCTTTTCTTAGCATGAACTCTTCATGGATCAAACATCTTTCTTTTGCCAATCATTTTCATCCACCAAAAATATGCTCTAGAGTTCTGAAGGATATTCTAAAGCAGATCCATCTAAAGCTAATGTGTCTTGATATACAGGGATGTAGAAATGAGGTTGTATCCCATGCATGTCTATTTATGACTAGAGCTAGACTTCCAAATAAATATGAATAATCACAAGTTATAAATTATGTAAACTATTAGCTATTATGTGCACAAATATATGAAAATATGTTTATCAAAATCAGTGATGTGAAAATCATTTCATTAAAAAGTAGTATTTTAAACAATATGTGACTGCAGTTGAAAATCTATTAACAATTTCATAGTGGGTGGGGATGTGCCCAAATGTTTCATTCTGAAACATTTCTAGCCCCAAATTTCTCAAAACATCCCACTGCAAATAAAAAACAGTTGTCTTGGGTGTGATATAGGCTGTTCTGAGGTTTTTTGGAAGTGTTCTGAACTGCCAATTTTGTCCCCTCTCATTTTCATGTGGGAAATCACGTCCCTTAGCTTTCCCAGCAGAAAGTAAATGGATGAACAGTTAATGTAAAAATAGATTTTAAAGGGTCAACCATGCTATTTCTGTCTTTATCTTTTTTTATTAGATTTCACCAATTTTAATCTTTATTTTAAAAAAATATAACCTACTGTGAGCAAGGAACTAAATGTTGCTCTGAGGCTTTATGTTTAAAGCACCAATTGGAAAAATTTGTTTCCAATGAAACAGCCACCCTTTATCAAGCATAAATACACTTGATAAAAAGCAGGCTAAAATCCTGCTTGATCTGTCATTAGGATATACAATGGAAATCTATGCTCTACATCACAGTATCACAACTAACATACATATGCATGTGGGATGAGGGAGTCATGGCCCTAAAAGATGTATAAATACAAACCTTTTTTTCAAACTTCTAGGGACAATATTTATCAGCCCAAAGTACTTAAATATGACTCAGTGCAATTCAATGGTCCTTAAGAGGGATAATTAGGAGCGTTCCCTAGTCATTTCTTGTGGAAAACTATCTGGTTCAGTAAAAGCCCTAAACATTCTGCTTATGATTTAAACAGCATAAAGTTGGTACCACTTTTTAAATTATTCTTTATAGCATCTCTGAAATATTTTCCTTAATGTTAGCTACTGTTATATATCTCCTTTTAGCTTTTGTAAGGCTAACAAAAATACTATAAAACTGCAACACTCCATAAAAATAAAATACATTGTTTTATATGAATGAAATGAGTAACTGGATGAATTTAATTTATGTTCACTTGGC